TTTTGACTCAATTATTAGTTTATGTTTGAACGGAGAAACTGTGCCTAGTTTAAAAAGTGACTGATTTTGAGAGGATAGGGAGCCACTAGTAAACCCATTCATCAAATGGTCAAATAAGTGTATGTTAGTTTGTCTTAAAAATGGATTGGTCAAACTAGAGAGAGAGATGCTTGCTCCCACTTCCACTTCTGTTGCATTCCCCATTGCAAACACCATGAATGTTATTAGAATGTTTGTTTGTTTGTTTTAGTTATGGCAATGCAACACTTGGGCAATCTACCTAGGGGGATGCTTTCTGGGATATCTTTTTAAGGGAAACTGGCCCCTATTTAGGTGTTACAGACGTTGAGAAAACTCCACGTGGCCAGCCCGTCTGAGCGGGTGCGACCCCACAACCGAACTCCCAGTGTTCAGGGTACAAAGACTGCTTGGCCACTGGTTGCAGAGCCGGTCCTACCATAGGGCGAACGGAGCAGGCGCTAAGTTTTAGCGGGCGCCTCAGTATTAAAGAAAATTAAAGGATATAAATTAGGGGCAACCAAGGGTGGCACCATAATAGGATCTCGCTCCATCCTAAAACTTGCCTCGAGCCGGCACTGACTGGTCGGCCTGTTATTAGAATGACATCAGTCAATCCTTGTTTTTGTTGTTTCATCATTTTTATATAAAATGTTATTACACGATTTAATTCAAGATTGCTCTTAGTTTTTTACATGTCAAACTATTGTTGCATGAGCAACAGCAAACTTCATATTTGGTATCTAAATTTGTTTAAAATTAACAATGAGGTTTTTTTTTATTCTATATGAGAAATTTGAAAAATATTAAGTACAGATACTTACATTTCAGTCTTTGAATAATTTGATAGAGAGAGGATTATTTTAAAATAAATTATCTTTACCACCTTTATAAGAATTGAAACATGCTCAATAGTATCACTGAGTCAAATGCTTGCCAAAGTTTCACAAAATCAAAACTGATCGAATGAGTTTATTGAATCTTAAGTCTAGAACAGAAACATCACTGCTTGGAAATTGCATGAAATGTACTCAAACGTGTTAAAGATCACAATAATTTTCTGAAATCTATTATGGGTAACAAAAGCCAAATGTACTGACAACATTATACTAAACAGCAATCCAACAAATGGAGAAAACTGAATGAATTCCATTTTAAAAAAGCACGAGTCATTTAGATGGAAAAGTTGTGTTTATTGCATATTTGTTTCGTGTATTAGTTCATTACAAATGTGTGCCTTTTGAAACAAATGTCAAGGTTTATGTAAGGGTTTTGCATCATCCAAGCAAGAATGTTTGACAAAAAAGATTCATTCGGTGGAAGAGGAAAATGTGAAGTTTTTCATCCTGACAATGTAAATCTTCATACAGCTATTTTTGTGTAGGAATTTTTGGCACAAAATTCTTTATCTTTCGTTCCTCAGTCACCTTGTCTACCAGATTTGTGACTGGCAAATTTTCTTCGTTTTTCACTTAATAGCACATTAAAAGGATGTGTTTTGAGAATTAAGAAAATAAAATTATAGGATAAACTTGTATCTGTTTCACAAACAACGTATATAGAATATTTTTAGGAAGTGATTCCAGTTCTGGAAAGTGTAGGAAGGTCTTGTTTCGAAGGCATATACAAGAGTATAAATTTATTTATTATTGGTGACAAGTTAATTGAGTTAGGATGTTTTAATCTTTTAAATGAGTATGCAAGTCCAAGTGGATAAGGTTCTAACTTTTGCAAGATTCAAACCGAACAAGAAAATTGCCTGGCACTCTTCACAGGTTTTCGAACCAAAGTACGTTTATTAGATGAAAGGTTAGAAATGTTTAAGCCAAAGTTTAAAAACTGTAGAATATAAGAAAATAAAATATATGTTGTTGTAATGTGGTAGATTTCTTTATACATTAAAATATTCATTTAGTTTTTACATTGAGATAAAAATTCAGTAATCATCATTTAAAATTTAGTTTAAATTCTGTTTTGATTTCTGATTATCAAATGTTTGTTGTACATGTTGATGCAATATGGAATTGTTTGGCAGCTGGTTTGTCGACAGTCCGCAACTAGATTGATCTAATATAAAAACGAGAACATTCTGTAGCCGTGTGCCATGTAGCATGGCGTAATATAATTTTTCTTTGTGGGCTAAAACACACTTGTGGGTATTCAATAGAACTAAAAATAGGAGGATGCTGGCCAGTAGATTGACCGGACATGCGCTTTCATGACTCGAATAAATTTAGGTGTCATCTCTAATTCACCTAGGGACGATTGTTTTCATTTACATTAACATTTTTTTTTTATAACAAACAGCAAAGAGTTATAATTATGTTTAGTACTTCATTTATCTTTCCTAACAGATTATTTCACGATAACATGCCATCATGCTTTTGGTCGTACATCATTAGTGTGCATAAAAATGCACACTAATGATGTACGACCAAAAGCACGATGGCATGTTATCGTGAAATAATCTGTTAGGAAAGATAAATGAAGTACTAAACATAATTAGACAATGACTATAAAAGTTGTTTAAAAAGTGAAATGTATTACAGTACAAAAATATTTTGATAATGTTACAAATGAATTCAGAGTTATATACTTTCGAAAGTGAGTGGGATTTCAATAATTTGTGAGAAGGAATACATCTATTGCTCAAAGTTGCATAAATAATGCTGAAATTAAGAAGTTCGTAGTGTTTTAATGTTCTGAAGTTGGTATAGATTGAATAATTTAACTCAATTTTTTACAGAAAAGTTCTTTAACTAAATTTTTTAATATATTATTTAAAGTAATATTCAAGAATAAATTTGAAAATATATTTTATAATTTAGGTATTATGAAATATAAAATTTAGCATTAATTTGAAGTATTTTTATTAGTAAAATGTTAATCAAAGACATGTAATTTTATGCGATGTTGTCAATGAAACACACTAGACAGCTGGACGTCAAACAGTACATTAATGAATAAAAATAGAGTAATATAAGAAAATGAAAGAAATTTTGTTATAAATATTATATAAATAGAAAAATCGTGGTATAGTTCTGCCTCTGAAATCTGCAACAAGTCAAACATGATACTAAATTGACAGGTATTTAAAGAATAAGGATTTTACATGCCATAGAGTAACGAGATTGACATACAAATTTGAAGGTGATAACAATATTGTTAGCAATGCATTTAGTTATTAAGATACTGGAAGGTTCTCTAGGAGAGGGATGCATTTAAAAATATTTGTCAGAGCTTTCAGGGTGTGCTTAGTTTGGATGGTGCTATATAAGGGTTTGTCTGTGTTAAAACTGAAGTGAATATACATGTATACTTGAATAGATTTCTTCTTAATTACCAAAGAATTTTGTATCTGGATTTCTAAATGTGTAATTTTGCAATGCAAGCAAAAATATCACCAAATTGCTTTATTTTTAAACTCCGAAACTCAAATTTGTGCACATATTTTCAACTTACAATTGCATTGTTTGTTAGTGATCACTAATTCTTAGAGGGGAAGTATTAATCCAGTTATTGTCTTACTTTAGTATTATTCTAGTAACCATGCAATGTGCGACACACACCTACTTATTTTAACATAAGAGTGATGACAACAAATATATAGTTTCCTTACTATTACAGGGCACTGTCTATAACTTCCTTCACCTTGTAGCTATGCTATTTATTAATGTAAATAACGATAAATTAAAACATGGTTACATAATTAAGCTTTACCGTTTGTTTAATAAATAGAAAGAAAAATTGGTGTAAACAGTGTACAAAAATAGAGAGATTATTTTTGTTTCGTGCTTATTATTATAGCGACACAGTAAACACGATACTCGTCGTCAATGCCAAGTGCTATACCTATACCGGACCAAGGTCAAGGCCTAGTTACTAAAAACATCCAGTTTTTTATCTATTTTTGGTGTCATTAATATGTAATCTGCACTTAAAAAGTTGTATGTAGCATGTAACTGCATTCTGTAGTGCAATGTGTGATTGGGTCTAATAGTTTTGTTTAGTGTGTACAGTGCAACACATGGAATAGAACATTACATAACTTATCTATTTTTTCAAAGGTTTTTTGTGGTTTTGGTGTAGGTATTTTATAATTTGTAGGCATTTCAGATGAATTTCTGCAATCGTGTATAGTTTTATATTGTTGCATGGATTGTTCTTATTTGTTGTAATATGTTGTCAGTGGTGTTTACTAACATTGTGTAAAGTGTATACATGAAAATAGGGCCATTATGGGAACTGTGTATTTTCCCCTAGGCCTGGAGAATGCTCCCTATGAATTTATGGTATTTTTACTAACTGAAAATAAAATCTCCAAGTTTCTTTTTTTAATAAAGAGAAATGTTTTAATTTTTTCAAACATAATAGCAAAAGGGGACCCACCCTACTCTGGGTCCTGTTGACCCAAATGCCTGCAAGCTTTTGCTAGCCTTGTCATTGCATGGTTATGGGGGCAAAATCCCCATTTCGATAACACATAAGAAAACAGGAGGAGAACCACGTGTTTTTGGCTAAGTACTTCAGGTGTGGTGCAACAGTTAATGCTTGCACAAGCCTTTATATTATATTTATTTCATTATACCTTTGTCTTAACAGATTACCTCCCAACACTATTGTGATTTCAGAACAACGCACTCTTTCATATGTATTGTTTAAGTATTGCCTTTAATATGTATTTTCTGTATGATCCAATCTCTTGCAGCAATTGCAATTCCTTCGTTTTTTCTGAAGAGAACTCGAGCCATTAATTTGATAGTTTTTTTAAACTTAATCCTGAGTAAGGTTGTTTACATGCCATTAACTTCTAGTCTATAATAGCATGTACTTTTTATACTACTGTAGCTAGACGATGTGATTTTTAGTGGTTTACCTACGTCTACATTCCTGGTTCAAAGACTTGCGAGCATAACACTTGCATATAATATAAAAATGAGAAATAGTTATGGGACACTAATCTCTATTTTCCATGTTTACAGGAATTGGAAATGCTCCTACCTCCTCGATCTCCATTTGAAATGCCCATTGGCGAACACGTGGAAGAGGTGGACCTGCACGATTACGACCCCAGTACGGCGGGATCCAGTGGAGGCGGCGGAAGATCGGAAGTCTACGACTCCGACGAGGAAGAACACCACAGAGGTCCCGGCGTCCAGTGCGCCCATCAATAATGATTAATCGTTTAAGTAATAAAAAGGTTTCTGAATTAGTTTTATAATGGAGTGGTATGTTATTAAATAATTAAAAAAAAAAATTGCCAGTTTTCTGAAGGGGACCATTCTTGTGCGACTATAACCGCAAACAATGAAAATAATATCCTCTGTCGATTAAGAAATTCTGCACAAGAATGTTTGTTCAAACAGTTTTTGAGTGTTGTGCAATTTTTTGCTAATCTCGCTAAACAAATATTTCAAGGCTTGCTCTCGTCAATCTATTTAAAGGAAAGTTGCGTAAAAAGAAACCATGTTTAGGCATTTTTACTTTACATATCAATATTTAGATGACAAACGACGTTTCTAGGACATTTATTCTATTAATTATAACCATCCGTCGATTTAAAAAAGAAATTAAAAGCATGTTAAATTGATGTATCGGTATACCTTTCCAGAGAATCTGCGCTCCGAACTTGGTCTGTATACGAAGAATCGAGAGCGAGACAACAGGTTTTTCTCTCTAGATGTCATTCCAGTTCTGTAACATACCTCCATTTGTCGGTAAATATTTCATTTTTTCCAGCCGTTAATCAAATATTTGTCGGGCGGAAGTAAGTTATGTCTCTGTTTTTACTCGCCGCCCAGTTCCGGGGACGCGTGCCTGTCCCCAAACCGAAGCGGCGGAAATTAAGCTAGATAAATTGTCGCAGTGTGTAGTCGTTTAGTATATTTTTAAATACCTGTAATTATATTTAAGACGCCCCATATTTTTTTTTTTGTTTTTACTTTCCCCGATGTGAATTTGTCCAGGCGTTAGTCTCGGAAAATGTCGTTATATATATACACATATATGATGTTTTTCTCGGCCACAACGGAATCAAGTTACCTGCTGACTTGTAAATATCACGTCGAACGGGAGCCATTCGCACGGCTCTCGCCGATATATATATTATTGGAGGGGTATAATTTTGTCACTGCACTCAGTTCTACTTATGATGAATCTGTTCTGAATTCTTTATTTAGTAATCCGAGGAATATGAAATATGTAGAAGTTTGTGAAAAATAAAAAAAGAAAACATTCTACACGTCTGTCTTGTGTCTTATTTCTAAGGTAAGTTTATTTAGCGATAATGTGCTTATCCGAACACATCTTTACAGTCTCCGAACATAATAAACAACAATACATGCCTCGTAAAGCGCAAACAGTAAAATGATGCGTAACAACGATGCCAGTTTACTTATGTGTTGGCATTGTTACACACTACCTTAAGTTTACCTGTCTTTAATCACATTTTGCTCCACGTCATACCATAATCGCTAAGTAAAATACACAACCGAAATGACATGAACATTCATGCTATTCCCTTATAATTTTCCTGCCACAGTTTAGTTCACATTAGTGTTTGGATCTTGCAGATTATAGTGTAATGTGAACATGTGTGCCTTTTAATTTTCCTGTCTATAATCACATTCCACAATCAGCAACTGATACTGATCAGTGTGCGAACATGGGATGTGATTTGAATATCAATGTTCAGAAAGGAAACTTGATAACATTTTCCCATTAATATAACAATACTTCACTCTATCATACCCAAATCGACACCTGATACCGATCAGCTCGGTCTTCTTCACACGCGCGGACAAATTTGGATTCCGCAAACTTTTGGGCACCGCGGTGAACAGGGAAATATGTATCAACCTACATACGCCTCGGCGACGCTCTAGTTCTGAAGTGACCCTCATAAACAAATACTGTATTATGCCATTACGAAATTAATTTCGTGACCGCATAGCCCATCTCCTCGGACAAAACACATCCTTGAAAATAACAATGGAATGCCTCGTGCCGGAGAAGCGAGGCAACGACCCGATCGACATCAATGTCATCTTGTTACGGCCAACAGCTGTCGATTTGACCCTCAACCCTCTGTCTCTCTTATTTTCGTCCCCCCCGTACAGGTGATGAAGATGGATGAGATCTTCAGAAGTGTGTAAAATTGTCTAGTGTTATTGGATTCACCTTTGATCTAACTAAACGTTATTATTACTCTCCTTATATTATTAATGTTAGGTAACACTGGTGTTTACATAACTCCTTGTACAGTGAAACACAAAAAAAAGACCCATGATACTCAAGTACAAAACAAGGATACAAACACCTACAGTTACCAAGCGTAACGAGCGTATACACTACAAAATATACGCGATTAGATAACCTTGAGAAGGTCCTAAAGGAGAAATTTGGCGATAAAAACTGTCCTAGAGTCCAAAAATCGCGTGTTTTTCACACCCGTTACGATCGTAACACGTACAGTACACTAGAAGAATGTTTGTATTTTAAAGCCGTGTGTGTATGTAAAGAAAGACGTCTGGCTGTCTACACGTACACCAGATGTTTTAGTATTTGGGGGGGTCGAGAGAAGAGGAAAGCTTGTTTAAAAAAAAACACACACACACACACACAGACCATTTACGTCGTATCGGTCTCATTATTTTTCTTGGAACTAGGACAATGAGAGTGAGAAACCGGGTCACAGAACTGCTACTCAAGGTCACGGAGACGTGGCTCCGTGCCAAAACATGCCACCATGTTTGTTATCTGCTACACACACACACACACGTACACACCTACATTTTTACTAGTTACAAAAGGTTCGGGTCGTTGATTCCGAAACAGACAGCGCGTGGGAAGTGCTGATTGTCACCACATCCTGGTATTTCAGCTCCACGTACCTTTCCCCCCTTCTAGTGTCGAATTTTCTGGCTAAATTCGGACGAAACTACACCCGTTTGAAGGAACACTTGCCGCATGCGTTCGGTGATTGACAAACCAAACAGTGCGCTCCCCCTACTGCGCGCGGGGGGGCGCTTGCACCTGGCATCCATCCCCTAACTATGCCCCCGACTGAAGCAGATGGGTGGATAGAATTCTGCTAGCAGCACCTGGTGTTAAAGGACACGAGAAAAACACCGAATGTTTACACACGACGAACACTGGAATAATACACGCGAAATAAAACCCGTTTACGTCACATATCAATGACAATTTTGGCTGGGGGGTGGCGCTGTCACGTGACTACAAGTATCCACATTTTTAGAGATTAGTCACGTTTGCCGTCACCTGACGGCGCGCTTTAAAAAGCTCAACCGAGTTAGCGTGGCGTCACACTACTGTGCACCAATCCCAACAGAAGGAAAATTCGCTGTTACAGCTGCTAACAGTGGATCAATGACCTGTTAGTCTGTCTGGTTGTCTGTGTGTGCGTATATATAAAGCAGAATTTAAAAACGGTGACGTGAAAGAGATGTTACGGGACACAATTGACCGTAATAAATTAGCGTAACAGCGCGTCACACAACGATAATTCTGTCAACAAACTGGACGCAGTCTCACTCCTCCGCTGCAAGTATCGTAACAATGCCTCTTGCGTAGCGTAACCTGCGTTACTATCGACGAACTTTGCCCCAAATTTCTCGTGTTAAAACTGATGAATAATTGAAAACTTCCGCGTTTGCATTAACTGAAATATGTTCTCACGGAGGGGGCGAAGAAAGTCCCGTCTGTCGTACCGAACAGATTCTAAAAACCTTTATAAAACTGTTACGGCTTTTTTAGAATGGGATCATAAGATAAAATCTTGTTAGAAAGTGGGCTGATCTAATTATAGTGTGTTTCATTTGTTCTTTAAGGAAGGGCCAAAATGGCGGAACGTTGTGTTACGTAGTTAGTTTACTTGTATTTATAGTAACGTCCCGCTTTTTTCTGCTATTTGTGACGAGTAGATGTGTTTTGGGAACCTTAAATGGAAACCGTAACACCTTCGGGAAAAGGTGTGTTACGAGGAAACGTGATTAATTGCGCCGTTACGCTCATTTCTGTGCATTCGGACAGGTGAATACAGTGCTAAAATAAACACCAGTCTGCGGTGTTGTAAAGAGGTTGACACTCGCCCCCGTAATTACGGCTTTTACATAAATTTCCTAACCCCCAATTAGCGCTGACAGAAGAATCCAGATTTTTTTTGGCAAAGGTAACGCGTTTACGAACGTTTTCGATCGTTATATCGAGTGGCCATTGCCTTTTGTTGTAACGGTGCCAATTGTCGTGCCCCCACTTGTTTTCAAGTCTGTTAACCTTTGTATTGTCGGTCGGAGAAGGGAAACTGGCAAGGACACAAAGATTTGTCGAAAGGGGAGGAAACGGCGCTGTATAACTTCATCAACAATGCATTAATCTCTTGCAAACTGAGGTATTAACTTCATTTTAATACTAAACACATCTGTCCGTTTAGGAGATAAACGTAACAGTAACATGTTTGCTACTATTACGTGAATCGTAACGTATATAAAAATATCCCCTGTAGGTAGTAACAGTAAGTTCGTTAAGCGTAACTATTTTGTGAAAATGGAGAGAATTATAAACGTAACAATAAGCTCGAAAGATGTTATTCGTAACGGATGTAACGAATAGTAAATGGTGTGTAATTTAAGTAACAATGTTATAATACTAACACGTTAAATCGATAGACGTATGGCAAGTGTTTACGACGTAACGAAAACATTTTGTAAACATATACAACGTTACGGCAGATATTCAAGAACAGTAACCTAATCAATCGCACGTGTCACGCTTGTGTTATCGATAACACTAACGATAATTAAATGGATACAGAAGGAGAAATGAAGATTGAAAGCGTAACATTTAATAATGGATTCTATGTATACTGTTACGCAAGTAAATAATATAAAATTGATAAAGGTTACTGTCGACGTGACGAGGAAAATTGTATAATTAACAGTTATATTTATTTAAAGGTATGTAAAATTAGTTTGTTGTGTTATAACTGGGTGCGTTACGAGGAAAATAGCTGTTACGATTATTAATAAACAGGTTGTAGTTTAATTCGGATAAGAATAAATGACACATTTTAAAATAAGGTAACACGAGATGAAGTGTTGTTAGCTTGGTGATTAGACAATGCGTAACATACACACACTACAAGTATAACTACAATAACAACGTAACACTACTACAGTATTCTTTCCCCCTCATTTGTCTGGTGTTACGTATGTCCCTTTACGCATTGTATAACCGTTTAATGTGTAAAAGTATAGGGGAAGTTACACTATAAAGGGGGAGAAATCCTTAAGGTAACGTTGACAGAGGGGTGGTTGTAGCAGAGTTGTGTTTGTTTTATATAGTGTGCAATTACGCCTCAATTTAGCGTCATTTATACGAGGAAGGTGTGAAGAAATGACGTCAATCTGACGTAAACAGGTGTACAAATATTGCAATTAAACCCACGCGTAGCGACGGGCGCGATAGAGGGTGTCGAACTAAGTGTTAAAATGTGCTTTTTTTAAAGGGAGGGTCACGTGTAAAACACAAGAATTACGAAATAAAGGGCACAAACGATATAAATTCACCTTATTACCTAGAATTGTTGGGTTTTTTTTAAGTTCGCTCGCTCCTGGAAACAATTGTACGTAATTTAGAATACATAACACTAGAGGAAACAGAAGAAAATGTGTTAAACAATGCAATTTCCTCGTGTTTCTACTAAATAGGAAAGAATTATTAACATTTAAAAATAGAACTCGCTGTTAAAAATAAATCGTCTTCTACGCCTTTTTTCCCCGTTTTGTACGAGTTTTAAATACCCGGTCACGTGACACGAGACTCGTTTTAATCCCTATTGTTAAGAACACAGCAAAGGTAAGCAGTATGCATCTAAAAAAGCACACACGACGAACGAAAGAATGATAAAAACAGATTTAAAACTAGGTTCTCGATTAAATAAGGGTGTCTTCTCGTGTAGTGTTAGAGGTTGTCCTATATTTTTCGACACCTAAATTACTAAATTTATCCAAAGAAAACCCCCTCCTCTCCTTTGAATTAGTGTAGAACGAAATGTAATATGTCTGATGTGTGTTATTTTTTTTTATAGTTTTCGGTCTTTAACCGTCCAAAATCAGTCACACCCTTGTCAGAAATGGCTCTGGCCTCTCCCTCTTGTGTTATTTGGGGGTCGAATAATAAATTTATACAGTCTCTTACACTTTCTTGTGTTATTTGAGGG